GAGATTCTGGCTGGTTGCATCTTGAGAGCCCGCTATGTTCGACGTAGAATTTTAGTAAATAAAATTGATAAAGCTGTTGTAACATAAAAGTTTTAACCTTTCACAACTAAAGTTAATTTTAATTTTTCAGTTTTTTCTTTATTTTAGTTTTCAGTTTTGATTTTAATTTTCAGATTTAATCAATGTTCTAGAAGTGTAATGCGCAGCGAGATGTGGATGTCAAGTTTCGGGCCAGCGAGCTTAGGCAAGGATTAAGTGTAAAAAAGTGTTTGTTTATTTTTAACATTATTTTAAATCTTTAATCAATCTAAACATCATTAATTTAATAAAACATACAAATTATAATAGTAAATGCAGTTTTATGAGCTTAACAAAAATAAATATATTTTTGAACTGTAAACAAGATATAATATAATAGTTCTAATTGAAGAAAAAACGATTAATTAGCTTAATAAAATATAAATAACCATTTATTCGATGGTACAATACACTAAAGTTAAACCAAAGTTACAATACACTACAATCAAACTAAAAGAATTCTTATTCCATATCGAAAGTTCACAACAAAATCTTTGAGCATGTCATCTGTAAATTAGTGGGTAAATAACGTTTTGGGCATTCCAATTCAATTGGCTAAAAGTTGAAAATGTTGAAAAATTTACAATAATTAAAAAATAATACCAAAAATAAAAATGCTCGCCTTAAATGGTCAAACAAGGGCAAAATTAGAAGTCTTAATTTTGGAGTGTAAGTTATGTTTGAATGATTTGATTTGATTTTAATGAATGTGATGGTTGAATTTTTCACTATAGAAGGAAAAGAATACTTCGTTTGAGACAACTAATAATAATACTCTCTCTACATTTCATATTATATTCTTTGGCAACTCATTGTAAGGCTTGTTTATTCTTTCCTTGTGGTCGTGCCGTAAAAGCAAAATCACCTATGAGTTATAAGGATTTTATCTTGAAACCGTACAGTGTCAAAAGCACTCGCAAGAAGGAAAATCACACAACTTTAAGACAGCGAATTTCGCAAATCTATTAGACCTACATTTCTTAACTCTTAATTTTATTTTTTATTAAATCATGCTATTTGTTGGTGATCGAGATTGAGAAAAGTAGCCTCAGACCCACACTAGGAGGTTAAAACACATATACTACAATAAATAATCAGAAGTCAAAAATTAAACTAGATCGATCATACTCCAACATCATAGATAAACATTGGAAAAGCACCCCGCCAGTTACATCATCACCTCGTACTCAACTAATCGCACATGGACACATGTCACCTATGAAATTAGCACCTCCTTGTTCGTCAATCAAAGGGAAGTAATGATTATTTAGGAAGTTGGTCATCATTGCCTAAGTAGGGTTATGACTTGAGAGTGATGATGGCTTGACATGCTGGCCTAATAAGCCAATAAAAAACGGGTTTTGCTATTCATCTGGGGCCATATGAGCTTTGGACGAACAAGGGGTGCCACACTTTAGGGGACAAAAAAGGGGCACATGTAGCGCCCCCTATTGACTGAGTGTCTCCCTATTAGCTGGGCGTCTCGTTCGAGATGCCCAGCCAATATGGCTCCCCCATAGTCACGGGCTAACTCTAACAAAACCTGTAAAAAAACCTCCATTTAGGACGGCGGCATGCATCTCAAGGTTGACACTGTTGCTCCACGAGATATAGCGTGACCAAGTTACAATCAAATGCCATCATAACCACATGTAATTTACTCCTATGCGGAATCCAAAAATAAAAGTTGAAAAGCCATTTTCACTATTCCAATAGAAAAATGCTTTTCATCCCCAGTAGGGATGCATCCCCAATCTATGTAGATGTAAATGATTGGTTAAATGATAGGTGAAATTAAATGACTTATTTAATTTTATCTATCATTTAATGTCACATTAACGCTACATTAACGCACATAGACTAAGGATGCATCCCCATTGGGGATGAATAGCATTTCTCATTCCAATAAGAGAGGTCATTCTAGAAAACATGTAAAATACATCCATTTAGGACGGCAACACGCATCTCAAGGTACTGTGACAACGAACTGCTCTATGTGTGTGGCCAAGTTACAATCAAATGCCACCATAACCACATGTAATTTACTCCTATGTGGAATCCAAAAAATAAAAGTCGAAAAGCCTCTTTTCATTTTTATTTCGAGAATTTGGGAAATCATCCCCACCCTTTAGTAACTATATGGAAATTCGATCATACCATTTAAATCAAAGTTTTTAATTTTCATACTTAAGTTCCATTTGGATATTTCGTTCTCTTTACGTAATCTCATTAACATTGTCATTAAATTGTCCTCACGTGAGTTGCACAAGCTCATTTTGTACGTGTAAAGTTGACAAGATATACTTGATACATAACCTAATATTTCGTAATAGTTTAATTCATTTTCAATAGCTTTATAGTTTGGAAAATGCTTCTTGTACATA